GCAATGTATGTGGATGCCATCAAGTCGACAAGGTTATCGCTGAAAGCTCGCGCATATTGCTGCTTGTGAAGATACTTCAGGATTTCTCCAGATCTCTCCTTCACGTTACGCAGAAGTTCTCCCACGTAGGAACTTTGATCGCCTACGCTCTCGAGCTTTGCCCAAGGCGTGTTGCGCATCTCCCTCCAGCTAGGCTCGCACGCGATTTCTACTTTCCGGACAAGCATTCGGACTGTCGCACTAGCGATACCCATGAAGGCGTCGGCCTGGCTCTGCAAATCGACCTTTTCCTTGAACTCTTCATCTATGCGACCTCTTATTTTCTCTTCCAGTTGGTTGCAGGTCATGTAACAATAGTCTGCAGTGTTGAGAATGAGGATGGCGTCTTCGACAGATGGTCCTTGTGGTCCTGCTTTCTCACTAAGGAAGTAATACAGCACTTGCTGACCGTACTGGTCCAGGTACTTGGCAAAAGTCATAGATAGCTCCTGTAGCCTCGTTCCAGTCGAGAGTTTGGCGCACTGCGCCAACGTCATACGATAGAATTGGAACAATTCTGTCGATGAGGGTATTACAGCTTGATGCGAAAAATCCTCTTCTGGATTGCGCAGGGGTTGTTGCCGATACTTTGGCATTAAATTGGCAAGTTGCCTACAAAGTCAGCTTTGTTCTCGACAGGTGCATATGTGTAGCCTACTTGTCTTGAGACTCGACCCAGAGGCTCATGTAGGGTTCAAAGGCCTCGGAGATGGCCTGACTAAAGCCATGCGGCCGATCGTCCTTAGAGGCGACTGTATCCAAGGAAGAACGAGACTGCGGGGAATGAGTACGTATTACAATGTGATAGACTGTCTTCACGAACCTCGTTGGAGAACCGCCTTTCCAAGCTGTGTTCGAAGTCCAGCGTCTCCTGTAAGCACGAAAGAAGTAGTTCGACGTCCAGACTCTGCCCGTCGCCTCTCCGCACAGCCTTTTGTAATATAGACTTGAAGTCTTCGCGGGTTCCTTCGCAGAACGAGTTGGCCAGCATCTCGTTTACTCTCCAGTAGGCTGGGAAGATGGAAGCGTGTTCGACATCATATGTTTTCATCATCCGGTTGAACCAGCTGTATCTTCGCCCAATATTGTCTAAGGATCCAGCCTGTTGTTGTTAGCATCGTGTTACCATGAGATAGTTCAAGTGTCCCACCTCATCATTGCCCCGGAAGACTTGGCGGTACTCGCGAAGCTGCGTATTGCAATACCAATTGATAAGCCGTGTACGAGCGTGCTCTCCAAGCGCATCAATGACCAGACATGCTTCCGCCAGCATTCCTTTCCGTTGGGCGGTTTCGCCCTTGGCGAATGTCACTTCGAAGTCCTCGCAGACCTGTTCCAGCAATTCGCCCTGCACATCTGCCACGTTGCGACTCAGCGTTGCGATCTGGTCTATCGAGCGATAGCTCTTGAAGTGTGCCACGAGCTGTATCACAGCCTGTAGAAGCTGTGCGCATTCGCGATATTGCCGCGACTTGCTGAGGCTCCGTAGTTGCTCGTATGCCGTCGTCAGCATCTGAAGGCGCTTCAACGCTGTCATGGAGAGCGTCAGGTTCTTCTTGGTGCTATCCAAGCGCTTTATGTCTGCAGTCATCTCGGTGATGGTCTGCTCCGTCTGCATGGCCCGCTCTCGGACGCTCTCGATCTTCTTGAATAGGTCAGCCAGCTCTGCTTTGGCGGCCTGGATGCGCTGCACGCTGTCGGCATCGGCAGTGGACTGTGAGGCGACAACGCCTGCGATGTCTTCGTCGAGGTCATGCTGGTAACTGCGGAGGGCATCCGACGTGGCAGAAACGGACGAGAGCGCGGCGGGGTGGGAAAAGATGGCGTTCAGGTGATCGATGGGGTCGTATGAAGCTGCATTGAGCGTCAGCGCGGAATCCATGCTTGTGGGTGTTACTGGGACTGCGTACTAGATTCCAGCGAGGTGGAGGGCGCAGGCATGTGGTTCGGCGGGCGTCCGCGTCAATGGCATGCGCTCGCGGTACACGGTTGCAGTCGTCGCAGCGGCAAGGCAGGCACGGCCAGGGTGCAAATTAAGACGAGAGATATCCTATCTATCTAGGATGCAGTACGCACAGTTCGGTATTATTGGCAATTGCCTGACGTCCCCCATGCTTCACAGGCCAATATCCCACGCGTCCTCAATCCAGGGTCCCGTACTCCGAGGTCCGAGCTCATCGCGCTAGAGCACCCTGACGTGTGGTAACATCGCCTTTGAACATATACAGAGTACAAACTCAACGCTCATACACATCAGAGTCTATGAATACATTTGAATCCCACTTGAGTTTGATATGTGGGGCTTACTACGGCAACCCAGGCGCTACTGCGGGAATAGACCCAAGAACCCGTTGTATACTAAACTGCGGTCTTTCTGCGTGAGCGAGCTTGCATCCCCTGTACCGGTCCAATAGAAGAGTCCACCTAGTCCGTTTTGACGCACGTAGTTGGCCTTCATCCTGACTGTGTGCGGGGTATCGTATGTGACTAGACCTCCGTCACCACCAATGCAGTAGGCTGCGCCCAACTGCTCATCAACGTGCTCTTCCGCACCCGGGCGTGGTAGATCTCGATACTCGAATGTACCCTCCTCTCCTGCCTGCCCGGAGAACGAGTGGCCAATACCACGGGTTCCGGTGAAACTGCGGCCATATGCTGGCACACCCATGACAATCTTGTGTCTTGGGACACCTCGCTGCATCATGTAGGAGACAGCTGAATGGCAGGATATTGCGGCCTCGGGACTGTGCGGAATGTGTGGTGTGAATAGTTGAGCCTGATGTCCGCACTTGCTGACCCACGGTCCAGAGTAGTCGTAAGCCATAAGGTTGATCATGTCCAGATAGTGCGAAGCATGTGCCAGGTTGATGTGTTGAAGGGCCCATTCACCCGCTGGAAGTGCCGAAGAGAGAGTGTACTGAGGGGCTGGCAAGTACTGACGAAGTACAGCCAGAAGAGCGATGTAATCCTGACCTTGACTGGCATCTGAAGGATGCTCCCAGTCGACTATTGTCTGATTAGTAGAGGCTCTTCAACTTGGTTTGGGGTACTGACTATCGATTCCATCGATTCCGAACTGCTGTACCAATGCCAACGACGACTGAGCGAAACGCTCACGGCATGCAGGGTCACGAGCTACACCTGCAAAAGGCTCACTGCCTTTTCCGCCTCCACCGACAGACAGTACAACCCGTAGTCTGGTGTACTTTCGCTTCAATAGAGCAAAAGAGTTCAGGCAGCCCTTCGTTGCAGGAATGTCGTCAGTGCCTGGAACCTCGATTTGAGCATCCGCCCATTCATCGCTCAGCTACAACGCGAGTCAGTCGGTGAGACTTTTGTACATCTGACATACTTACGTAGACAGTTCCATCATCTTTCACCCTGTGACCGTATTAGCCTTATCACCCAGTAACTCTATCCAGCACTTAGCGTACCAGGCAAACGCATAGAAAACGTGCGAGATGACATCGTAGTTCAGCGACACGGGTGGCTGGTCGCGATAGATGCGCCAGTTAGGATAGTAGACTCCGTTCCAGTACATGGCTTGCAGCGGTGTAGAGAAAGTGGTGTCGTGACCAGGCGGGTTGAAGTAGTGTCGGCTCATTTTCGGTCGTCGTCAGCTACAGCCTAGCTTGCTGCACGTCAGAACACCCTGCAGGTATAGGCGGGTACCCGGACTTTGAAGGATCAAAGTTGGACGGCTATCGGAAGCTCTTTTTCGTCTTGGGATTCGAGGTTTAGTCTTGGTGACGAAAATGTATAGGTAAGTAAGCAGATCAGAGCCGTGTGTATGTGTGTTCGATTGTATCTGTAGATGTGAGGCTATTAGACAAAAGAAGATAAAGAAATGGGTCGAGATTGTTCAAGGTGATTCAGGAGCACTTCTTGCTTGTATATGAATACCAATGCAACGCAATCAATAGTGGCACCAGAGACTATCGGTGATGCAATGCTTATGATGATCGCCTTGAGACCAACGGACCGCGCAATCATCCTAGAAAAGACGAAGGCTTCCATGCAGGCCCTGCTGTAGTGGCTTTACTACAGATTAGACGGTGAGGCCCAGTCTGGCAACTGATGGACTACAAATAGACACTAAACTGCCATCCCAAGGATCCATGATCGCGTGAAGCAGGCCTGTGTCGCGTACGAGGTTGCAATTTTCTCAATATTCCGACATCGTAATGTGGGTCTAGTGCTTCAAGAGTAGAATGATGAAATCCACCACAAAACAGTTCAGCTCTACCCACACCAGCTGGAGTGCAATGACATGGTGATGCGAGACTGGGTATCGAAGCAGTCAATATTGAGCCGAGGACAATTTCTCAAATTGTTGCGGAACACAGACGGAATATTGACTGCTGAATACACGACCAGGAACGGCTTTCCGGATCCTTGTGGGGAGAGGGCATGACGCAAGCGGCTAGAGGGATAGTAGCCAAGGAGCATCAAACGCCGTGTTGCATAAATGGTGACCGAGTGCAAGGACGACCCCGCACGGAATCAAAACCTGGAAACGATCATGGCGGCCTGCGAACGCGTTGATGAGAATGCACAGATCCTGCAAAGCGTATCGACGGGCCGAGAAGAGCAGAGTGAGCACGAAGCGTCGTATGCGTGGGGTCTCAGGGTCGCACGATCGGTTCGACGGCACGTAGGAAACGCACATGAAGTGGGTAGATCAGGGTAAGTCAAAGGCCGAGCGGGATGTAACCGCCATGTAATACGCATCTGGTAAGTTGCAGATGCAGATGTGGATGCGGGAGTACGGTGATCGCCGTCGGGCCGGAACAATGAAGCTCAGCATCTTAGCGTCCACGTGATTCCGCGTCCCATCTTTCGAGGTTATTGTTGATCGCGCGGGCTACCGCGACGTCACAGCAGCAACGCAGCACGTCAACTCTATCCTTTGCGCCTATCGCATCCTACTCACCCACATGAGGTAGTCAGAGCGCGCCACGATGACTGAAGTTATGAACCCCGTACCAACGCCCGCGCCTGAACCGAAGCCGATAGAAGCTCAGCAGCCACAATATACATTCAAGTTCAGCGAGTTTCTTCGGCGCGAGTATCGCTTTGGCCTCAGTCCCGACCGTCCAGTATGCAAGGCGTATCTTCAGGGCCACTGTCCCGATGGGAACAGGTGTCCAAACAAACACAACGTCTCGTCATCCTACAACAAGTATGCGTCTTTGCAATGCAGCATATATACACTCATAGACTAACAAATCCCAGTCTCGTATGCAAACATTGGCTGCGCGGCTTGTGTAAAAAGGGCGAAACATGCGAGTTCCTTCACGAGTACAACCTACGACGAATGCCCGAGTGCTCCTACTACGCTCGAACCCAGACATGCTCCAACGGCGACGATTGTCTCTACCTCCACATCGACCCCGAAGCCAAGCGCCCATCCTGCCCACATTACGACCGAGGCTTCTGTCCACTAGGGCCATACTGCGCACTCAAACACAACAAGAAGGAGAAGCTGTGTCCCTTCTACCTCTGCGGATTCTGTCCCGAAGGAAAGGGCTGCAAGTACGGCGCACACCCACGGTTCCCCACTGAACTCAAGAAGCCCGAGGTGCGCGTGGAGAAGAGCCCTGAGGAGCTTGAGGCAGAGCGGATAGAGCGCGAGCGCGAGATGATGAGGAGAGAAGAAGAAGACCGCGAGCGCGACGAGAGGAACGGCCATCAAGGCGGTCGCGGTTTTAGGGGCAACTGGGATCGTAAGAAGCGCGGGGGCCGGAGGGGAAGGGGTGGAAGGGGACGTGGGGAATACTGATTGGCTATGATCTGGCTCACTGGGGCCTCAGAATGCTATAAAACGCCCTTCGTTCGGGCGATGGCCGACTGTCGCGCCCGGCGCGTATCAGGCTGGAGCTGAGAAATCCGAGACGGAAAGTACAGTGATACCCCCAAGCTTGATCGTGGTATCAAGCGCTGAGCAACAGAGGTGTTGACTTGGATGGCCATCAAGCGGTCTTAGTCTGAAAATAGTGTTGGCTTTGGAGAGGCCAACGTACAAGAACCATTGGCTTATGTTGTCACGGCGGGAGTATATCGTGGGCCTCAGCGCCTGACTAAGAGGAGATGAGTTCGGCACATAGTACTATTTATTACATGGCTCTGAGGTTTAATATCTTATGACCGATCTAGCACATCTCTCCATCATCAGAGTAAATCTCTCAATCAATCAAAATCACACCATTCCTTGTTTGTAATTACTGTGCTATTGATTCACATGTCAGGTCAACCTGGGAAGCATGGTGGAGACTCCTGCCTAGCTCCGTTCTAGCGCAGCCAGGTATCGCTCAGCTCTGAGTGCTGGTGCAACCCCAAATCATCACTCGCAGCCCAGTTGAAGCCCTTACTTCTTCACATGCATCGAGAACCATTCTTTCCGCGCATACTAGACGCCGTCTCACAGGAAACTGGCCGCCACGATCCAGCGGCGACGCGCAGCCATGATCTGGCCACATTAGGTCGAAGCTTTCCGACAGTACTTCAATCGGCGCTTGTGATCTCATATCCTCCTGGTAGCCAATGCCGAAGATGGTGATTGTTGCACAGTCATTTTCTCTGCGCTCACCACTCAACCTTGTAGGGCAGGTTAGACTATCTCTGCGTTCAGAACTGGCGAAAGATATCGTGTTTATCTTTAGTAAGTTGACCGGAAGCTCTGAACACCTATCGCAGCCATCCATCAGCCTTGCGAGTGAGTTGCGTTGGCCGGGTGTAGAAGGCGCTCAAGTCTTCCCGGCGCTTCTGCTCTCAGTATACATGGAGTGTGTTCACCGTGCCTCCTGTCTCGTTGAGTTCAAATTGACGTTGTGGTCGCACAGATTCCTTCTCGATGTCGGCGGCGCAGGCTGTCCGCCAGTGGCTTTGCAACTCCACCACCCCTGAAGCTCTGACCTGCAGCTATATGGGCGTCTGCCCCCGCACTCTATCAGCGGCAATCGCATCAGCGGATATCTTTTCATTGCCTCAGCCAGAGATAGCTTTGCAGTAAGCGCGAGTCAGGCACCACACCTCCTTTGTGGCTCACATACTGTCGAGCACCTAGGTTTGGACGGATGCTAGGCATCATGGTGCTATTCTCTCATGCCTCCCCTCTTACCAATCTTACAGCCCGGTATCTGGCCGTTAACACTCAAATTAGATGATGCGGTCGCTTCCTGGTGACCTGCTGGGTATATAGTCCAAAGGGACAGCGTTCGATTTTATCACCGCAAAGCCGCGCCAGCCCAAACAAACTCAGTTAAATCCAACAGTGGAAACTCTGGTCTTCTCTTGGGCATTTCCTACCCTCAGGCTCTCCAAACAGTGCCCTATTCTCTCACCTTGTCTACGGATGTCAGCTACCTTCTTGTCTTGAGGAAATCTCAGTCGTTTGGCGATTATACTCTAATTGTTCCACGGTCCTCTGCGTTCTCACCTTGCCTCTTTCGAACGTTGGTTCCCTTACCAGGTTCTTTCCACACCATCGGACGAATGGCGGCCTCAGCCAGTTACGCGACACCTCAACACACATCCTCGGCACAGCCAGCCCCAGCAAACCCGGGCAACCATGCGACACTCCACAAGGACGGCTATCCTAGTCTTGCCTTCTTCTTTTCGCGAAACAGCAGATATTTGCATTTGCGAAAATTCTCCGCTCTCGCAATCCGCGTTCTGCTATATCGCCAGTACAAACTGACCAGGTTGGAAAAGGACCTGCTGCATCTTGAACAACGCGATGCTGAAAAGAATCCGAATATATTGAAAGACTTTGCTCTCATCGAAGCAGAATCGAGAAGTTCTGGAGTCCCTCCAGAGGCTACTCAGTGTTGGCTGTACGAAGAGCTTCAGAACGAGTTGAAGGAATATGGTAGGCATCTTGGAGCTGCAATCAACATAGACTGACCATCAGCAGAAGAAGCACTTCTGCGACTCAACCGCCTTGCCGGGAAAGGCTACGATGTCGCGGACCTTCGCAATTTACAGGTCTTGTTTGACCAGACTCGTGGACCACCGGGTGCTCTTTTGGGACTCGACGGAGCGGTCTGGGGCTCGACGAACGATCAGGAAGGCCACGCATTCGACATCTATCAGATCATAGATCAGCCAAGTCTCAGTAAGATAGGAAGGTTCTTCTGGGATAAGTTTGCCCTATGGGCTCCGTACATTCCAACCTGGCTCTGGATGGCCCTAACCTGGTCAAGACCACCCCCAGACGGGTATGTGTATGAGGCCTTCAGCATGCGCAGATTCGAAGCTGTGGTTGAACTTTCCGGAAACATCTTAGCCTCATTGCTCATATATGTGGCCGTTACCTCCCTGTACCTCACCGCCGAGCGTGCATCCAGCGTCGTAGGGGTTATCGTCATTGCTGTAATCATAACCGCATGCAGTCTGTTGTTTCGTAATCAGAAGTTCATCTCTATGCTTTCGACGTAAGTACAGATACTCTCCTAGCCCCAGAGACTTACTAACAATGCAGGGTATGTGCGGTCCTTGTAACGTTACTGCTCAACGACAACACTCGGCAGCGTCAAGCAACCCAGACCCTTATGCATCCTGCAAATGTCACACATACGACTTACGGGACATGATGAGTGCGAAACACGTACTCGGTCAGGTATGAGCACAGATCTCGTCGCATCGCTGGTACATACAGCGTATCATGCGCACTCTTCGAGAGACAAAACGAATAAGCAGCGCTGACTTAGAACGAGACTTTATCGGATGCGTTCAGCCAAACCAACACAGGATCAAAATACCAGACTCAAGCTGGGACCCACTCTAGACCGGAGCATGATGCGCTAGACCTACATCGGCTGCTGAGGCGCTGCATCATCGTCAGCGAATGGGAACTGTACCTGGACAGGACGGCGCACCGCAACTCCAAACTTTACTGCCGCTCCTAGGCATCGGATGACATCACCTGAAGCACTCGTTGACAGGGGACTGCTATGCTGTTACTGTTCTCTTCGGACCCGTGGCATCACGCATCCGGATAGCAAATGCTGAGTCGTCTCGGTAGCCCCAACCTTTCGTGTACTCCATCAAAGCGTGCTCAGCCGTGCCAAGCTAAGGCATTAGCTACTGACAATATACCAATACCCAGCTACGGAGCACTAGAAGGATGCGAAGTCGCAATAATACTCGATGGACCGCGTTACCTCGTTGCCTACCCGTTCGACACCTGTACCACTCCGTTAGAGATACTAGGAATTGTGAAAGCACTGCTTTCGGCCCATTGGAAGCCTCTACATGGGCTACATTGGAATTGGACAGCGCTGCAAGGCTGATCGGTTATGGCTCCACCTGCGCGCACCAAATTCCAGGTCAAATTCGCACGACTTGTCACATCGGCTAGTACAGATAGCACCCGTTATCCGACTATAAATCTTTTCTTTTTGCCTTCAGCTGTTTAGCCCTCGATATCCTCTACCGCGAGAACTCCTGCGACGGCCAATTAGCTCAACTAGCGAAGGATGTCGACTAGACCACAGCCACAGGACTCTGGGATCGTCTGGTCGAAGGATGGTATGAACCTTTCACTCCCCTCTGGTGTTGTCGTGGACAAAGGCACTGATGCGATGCTTTAGCCTTGGAAAAGGGTCTTACATACGGACTTATCTGTGCAAATCGAGACAGCGCCATGCAACAAGCCCACAAAGCCCACGAGGCTTCATCGATTCGCTATTCCAATTCGGCAAACAACCAGCCACCACAACAACAGCCTACGGCAACAGGCGCCCAGTCTCAATCCAGTTCATCGAACCAACAGGGCGCCCAAGACGCCGCTGTCGTTCCCCCTTGAACTTCTCACGTCTACCGATGCAGATGGTTGGTCATAGCGACTCTCGGAGGAAGCAGCGTTGCCCTTGAGTCAGAGGCTGACCGGTCAGCAAACATTGGTGATTGAGACGAAGTTTGGGCAAGGATGTAGACCCGCTTTTGACAGCCGTTGCACCGATTCCGCAGTAGGCCCCCTTCTGATGGTCTTTGTATGGCCGACAATGCACAAGGGGATTTTGATCTACCGTTTCGCAACTCAGTCCGGATAAGTATAGTTGTTGACGCTGCCCAGAGCCAATGGACTTGAACGTTTCACAGAAACCTGAGAAAATATGAGAGGATGCTGTCGTCCACTTTTGCCTCCCTTTTCTTCAATTTCGTGTTGAACGACGATGCGTGCCGCTCACACCTCCAATCTCGCTTGACGGGCCTGCAAAAAGGTCCGCTACGCCGCCTAGAAGGGTTCGAGGTTGGAGGATTTGGAGGCGCAATGTCTGAATGATTAGACAGGGGTGGCGCAGATCCTCCACCTGGTGCCGCTCGCGAGGAAGAGGCGGGCCATGCGTTTGGTCGGTGCGAAGTTTTTGGCCCCAGCCTTGGGGTCGTCACGCTATCAAAGGACAAAGGCATTATCGAAGTTTTCATCGGCATACCAGAAGACAAGATCTCGGTATCTCCATGTTCTCATGTTCTCGGGAAACCCTTCCTTTGAATGTTATCTGGACCTTCAGGCCGCCCGCATTTGCTTGGGGGCGGAGGCAGGACCTGGGGAGTGTCTGGGCGCAAATCCCCGCCGCACTGGACGCCTGTGGCAACTGGAGCCTAGCCGGGGGTGATTTCAAGGTGCGTAGACAGTTCGGCGATAGTCTGTCATGAGCCTAGAAGGCGCGACGAAAGTCTCCCTCGCGCGCTCACGACGCGTTCGATCCATCGTTGTCTATGCTACGATGTCGCACCGGTCAGACAGAAGACGTTTTCGTTCGCGGTCTTGTCACA